TGCTGGAACAGCTGCCGGGCTTGGCTGGGAGCGCGATGGCTCAGCTGCCCTGGTGACCTTCCAGCGCTCAGCACAGGGGAGATCGCAACTGCAGGGAGCCGAATCCATCGCCTGCCCCGGCCCCTCCAGCTCCGGGGGCCACTCAGCCTCCACGGGCAGCTTGTGAACTAAGCAGGGCACCTGGCATCCTTGCCTGCATAGGAGACCTAGGAAAACCCAGCTGCTGGGGGGGCTCAACAGGGGGCGCTCTCCCCTCAGAGCTGAACCTGACGACATGCTAGGGAGTGCTGTGCTGAGGGGTTCCGGACAGGGGCTCAGCAGGGGGCGCTGTGCTGAAGGGGTCCGGATGGGGGCTCAGCAGGGGATGCTCTCACCTCGCAATCAGGGCTGAACTCGGCACAGCTCTAGGGGGCGCTGTGCTGCAGGCAATGGATGGGGGCTCAGCAGGGGGTGCTGTGCTGCAGGGAGGGAGGTCAGCAGGGGGCGCTGTGCTGCAGGGAGCAGGGCGGGGGCTCAGCAGGGGACGCTGTGCTGCAGGGAGGGAGGTCAGCAGGGGCGCTATGCTGCAGGGAGCGGGCGGGGCTCAGCAGGGGTGCTGTGCTGCGGGAGCAGGGCGGGTGAGCAGGGGGCGCTGTGCTGCAGAGAGCAGGGAGGGAGGTCAGCAGGGGGCATTGTGCTGCAGGCAATGGATAGGGGGCTCAGCAGGGGGCGCTGTGCTGCAGAGAGCAGGGAGGGAGGTCAGCAAGGGGCGCTGTGCTGCAGGGAGGGGCTCAGCAGGGGGCGCTGTGCTGCAGGGAACAGGGAGGGAGGTCAGCAGGGGACGCTATGCTGCGGGGAGCGGGGCGAGGGCTCAGCAGGGGGCGCTGTGCTGCAGGGAGGGGGCTCAGCAGGGGGCGCTGTGCTGCAGGGAGCAGGGAGGGAGGTCAGCAGGGTCACTATGCTGCAGGGAAGAACCCCTCCTTCCCCAGGGAGTGGATCAGGGAGAATTAGGCACAGGAGGGGGGTAAGCAGGCAGTTGAGAAGGTGGGGGGCAGAGGGGGAGCAAGGAGTAGGTTGGGGTGTGTTAGAAGTGCTGGAGGAGAGGGGAGAAAGCTGTGGTGTAGGGCAGGGGAGAGGCAGGCTGGGGTTTGCTGGGCAGAGGAGGTTTGTGTGGGGAGGACAGGTCCATGCCTGCAAAGGGGGGCAGGGGGAGACAGGCCTGTGTGTGCTCAGAAGTGGGGGGTCAGGGGTATGTGGGCAGGGAGGAGGGTTGAGGGGGTGGCCCAGGCATGCTGGGAGGGGGTGTAACCTCTGGCCCCCAGGCCAGACCCGTGGTGTGGGCTGGGGGTCCCTGGCACAGAGTGAGGAGATGGCTGGAGGGTACAAGCTGCCCCCCACCCCCAGCTCTGTGGGGGTGGCAGTGCCTGGCTCTGTGGGGGTGGTAGGGCCAGGCTCTGTAGGGGTGTTAGCACCCAGCTCTAGGGGGGTGGTAGGGCCAGGCTCTGTAGGGGTGGTAGCACCCAGCTCTGGGGGTGGTGGTAGCGCCAGGTTCTGGTGGTGGTGGTAGGGCTGGGCTCTGTAGGGGTGGTAGCACCCAGCTCTCCCGAGGGGTGGCATCGCTGGGCTCTGGGAGGGTCGTAGGGGTGGTAGCACCCGGCTCTGCCAGGGGGTGGTAGTGCCAGACTCTGGGGGGGGGGGTAGCTCCAGGCTCTGGGGTGTGTGTGGTAGAGCTGGGCTCTGCCGGGGGGGTCATAGTGCCGGCTCTGGAGGGGTGGTAGCATTGGGCTCTGGGTGGGTTGTAGTGCCGGGCTCTGTGGCCCTGATGCCATCGCAGTCCCAGGCGGTTGAGTTATTGTCGTAAAATCGGGGCAAACGCCTGGCCAGGCTGGGCCCCGTGCCAGCGCCCCAAGGGTCATTCTGTCTGGCCCCCGATGGGTCGAGCTCTGTGCTGGCCAATCACAGCACTTGGCCAGCCAGTCAGCACTGCATGGCTTTGTCACCACCCAATCAGAGTGCTGCGTTCGCTAATCATTCAGGGTAAAAGCTGGAATAAACAAAACACAGCCAATGGGAAAGTGGCGTGTTCGGAGCGTGACGATGTGTGGGGCTGAAGCAATGGGTCTCGGGGTGCTCCCAAGACCAGGGCATTGTCCTAGGAGGGAGTGATGCCTAGTAGTTAGAGCAGGGGGCTGGGAGTCAGGATTGCTGGGCTCTATCCCAGCTCTCGGAGGGGAGTGGGGTCTAGTGGTCAGAGCAGAGGATGAGGTGGGTCAGGACACCTGGGTTCTATTCCAGGTTGTATCTCTGACCGACTGTGTGACCCATCCCCAATCTGGGGCAGCCGATAGCGTGGCATCCAACAGAGTGTGGTGGCAGGAGTGTGACCTGCAAGCAGCGCCCAGAGCCCTGGGTGGCAGCACATCCTGGGGTGGCAGTGAGGAACTAGGGCAGTGATGGGCCCTGGGGCAGGTGTGGGGGCCCGGGGTGGGTGATGGGGGACTAGGGCGGGTGAGGGGCCTCAGGGGGTGATGAGGGACTAGGGCAGCTGATGGGGAACGAGGGCAGGTGATGGGGGACTAGGGCGGGTGATGGACCCCTGGGCAGGTGGTGGGGGACTAGGGTGGGTGATGGGCCCTGGGGCGGGGGATGAGGGATGGGGGCGGGTGATGGGGCCCGAGGGCGGGTGATGGGGGACTAGGGCAGGTGAGGAGCCCCAGGGCGGGGGATGGGGGCAGGTGATGGGGAACGAGGGCAGGTGATGGGCCCCAGGGCGGGGGATGGGGATGGGGGCAGGTGATTGGGCCCCGAGGCGGGTGTGGGAGGATGAGGGTGAGTGAGGGGCCCCGGGGTGGGTCTGGGGGCATTAAAGCGGGTGATGCAGGATTAGGGAAGTGATGGGGGGCTAGGGCAGTGATGAGCACCGGAGCAGGTGAGGGATCTCGGAGCCCGGGGGGAAGGGTACACCAGGCAGTGCCTGCCTGGGATGCTGGAGCGAGGGAAGTGGCCCGCAGGAGCTGTAGGGACACCCTGCGAGTCCGGCCTCGCATCAAACACAGCCTGGATCTGGATCCAGCCCCCGCCAGCTCCTCCAGGGCCGGGGCGGCTGCATGTTCCCTGCCCGGCGACCCTGCTTCCCAGAGGGGACTGAGCCGAGCTCCCTTCCCGGACTTCAGCATCAGGACCTGCAGGCTGGCCCTGGGGTGGGGGTGAGATAGCATGGTCCCTGCTGGGGCCTGGATCTCCGCAGTTGATCTCCCGGTTCTGGCACCTCCCCGTTCCCAGCACCCGTGGCTGCTGCCCGCTCCCGCTCCCTGCGAGCATAGGATGTGTTTGCAGCTGGAATTTTAATCTGAGCCAGTTACTGCAGCAAATGGAAAATGGTGGGGCTGGGGGAAGCGCAGGTGGCAGGGCTGGTGGCACCGGAGATCAGCAGGGGCAGAGCTGGACCACTCTGCAGGGTGCCAGGCTGGGGGTGCTGAGGAGGGCAAGGTGCCAGTGTGTGTATCTGGGGGGAAGGGGGAGCCCCAGTGTTTGTATCGGAGGCAGGAGAGCCATGACTGGGGGAGGGGAAGCTATCAGTGTGTGTATTGGGGGAGGGCAGGGGGACCATGGCTGGGGGAGGGGCAGCTGCCAGTGTGTTTCGGGGGCAGGGGGGCAGTGGCTGGGGGGAGGGGAAGCTGCTATCATGTGTATCGGGGGAGCAGCTGGGGGGGCTGTGGTTGGGGGGAGGGGGAGCTGCCAGCTCCCCCAGGAGCGAGGGAGGGGCCCAAGGTGCTGGTTGGAGCTGGATCACAGTGGGGCTGTTTGGATCCAGGGGGCTGGGCTGGCCCATTACAGAGACTCTGCGTGTCCTGTGGCCCCAGATCCCAGCTCGATTCACGCTTGGGACCCATCGTGCCAGCTAATCCGCCTCCCCGTCATTCGTTTATTTGGGGAGAGCGTCCACATGACAGCCAACACCCTGGCGTTGTGCCATGCGCTGGTCATGGCGGATTCACTGGCTGGTGTGCCAGCATTGCCAGGAAGGAATGGGACAGCAGTCAGCATGGCCATCACTGAGCCCTGGGGAGACAGGCTGGAGAGACAGGAATGCTGGTTTTGGGGGGCTGTGGGGTGTAGTCAGCAGAGCAGGAACTGGGGGGGGCTGGGTTTTCAGCCTCGCTTTGGGGGCTGTGAGGTGTAATGGGCAGAGCGGGGACTGGGGGGCTGGGTTCTCAGCCTCGCTTTGGGGGCTTTGAGGTGTAGTGGGTGGAGCTGGAGGGTATAGTGGGTGGAGTCAGGGCTTGGGGGGCTGGGTTCTCAGCCTGGCTTTGGGGGCTGTGGGGTGTAGTGGGCGGAGTCAGGGATAGCATGGCAAAGCCAGGGCCAAGCCCTCTCCTCCCCTCCCTGGGGTCACACTCCCCATCAGAGCTTGACTCCTCCCTTTTGCTTTCCAGGGGGTGTCCTGGGCTCTGCAGGGAGGACAGAGCCCAGCGGGGGCGGGGGAGGGAGCCGTCTGTCTGCAGATGGACCCTGCTGCCTGAGTACCATGTTTGCTAATGTTTAGGCGGGTAACAGCCTACTGCTGCTGCCAGCTAACAGGGCGACCCCTGGAGCTCCTGTGGTGGGAGGGACTGGAGGAGTGCCCCTTGGCCCATTCCCTCGGTGCATTGGCCTGCTGGCTGCACCCCCTGCTCCACTACCACCCTGCCCCATGGACACTGGCAGAGCTGGGGGGTGGGGCCAGGGTGAGCTGGGGGTGGAGCTCCCCTATGAATGGTCAGCAGCAACCGGAGGCTGTCCAGCCCAGGCCACAACATGGCATTGGAAATGCCAACCTGGGCCCCAGTTGGGGATGTTGCTCATTGGAGAGAGAGACTCACCCATGGGGGTTTAGTCCAGCCTTCCCGGGAGCAGTTCCCCCAGTCCCTGCAGGAGGAGACGCCCCCAGGGTGGGGCAGGCAGAGCCCCCGCAAGGTTGTGCCTGGGGCTCTGTGGTGCCCAGCTCCCCATGGCTCCTCATGGCATTACTCTCCGCACAGATGGATCCAGTGCAGAAGGCGGTGATTAACCACACCTTCGGGGCGCCCCTCAGCAAGGCCCGGCGCCCCGTCATCTCCTGCAACGTCTGCCAGATCCGCTTCAACTCGGAGGTGAGTCCCCCACTGCACTGGCTCCTGGCAAAGGCCCCCCGCATCGTGAGCTGGTATTGCCGGCCCCCCCGCCAGGCAGCGGGACCCAGAAGGGCCCCAGCTTTGGACCAGTCTCTGGGAGGCCCCCTCCATGACCCAGACCCCTAGGGTGTCACTCTTCCCCCAGGGCAAGCCACGCAGCTCGCTGCGGTCCTCAGGGCCTTCACCCTGTGGGCCAGCACCACAGGGATGCTCAGCTGGCGCAGCCACACAGGCAGAGTTCTTGTCTCGCTGGACCGGGGTCCTTGGCTAGCAGAGTCCATCCTGGGCAGCCCGAGCCCCTCTGTCGCTCAGCCTGGCCTTCAATGCATAGGCGCCGACTCCGTGGGTGCTCTGGGGCTGGAGCACCCACGGAGAAAAATTGGTGGGTGCTCTGCACCACCGGCAGCCAAGCTCCCGGCCCCGCCCCTCAGCTCACCTCCTCCTCCTACCCTGAGCGTGTCCCCGCTTCTCCTCCCAGGCTTGCCATGCCGCGAAACTGCTGTTTCACAGCGTAAGAAGTTGTGGGAAGGAGCGGGGAGGAGCGGGAATGCGGCATGCTCAGGGGAGGAGGCAGGGAAGAGGCGGGGCCAGGGTCGGGATTTGGGGAAGGAGTCCAATAGGGGCAGGGAGGAGGTGGAGTTGGGGCAGGGACTTTGGGGAAGGGGTTAGAATGGGGATGGGGCAGGGGTGGAGTCAGGGCCAGGGAGGCACAAGCACTCACTAACGCCAGAAGTTGGTGCCTATGCCTCAGTGGGCTTCCCCTGAACCCCCCTGCTCCTCCAGCAGCCAGTGCTTAGCCCTAGCCTGGGCTCCCAAGCGGGAGGGGCTCAGTCCTGCACAGAGGCGGGGTCCGTATCTCTCTGGGGCCTTGGTTGCTAGGTGGCCATGTTGTGGCGACTGGGTTTGCCCTGAGGTGGGGATCAAGGCCCAGTGAAGCTCGGCGATACCCACCTGCGTCTTAGCCTGCCCCAAGAGCACACAGGCCTCCCCCCCACCAGGGAGCAGTGCTGCACACAGAGGAAACTGAGGCACAGCTCGGCTTCTTAAAAATATTACCCAAACTTCCCACTTGGTCACAGGGCCGATGGGGGCTTAGCTCTGCTTGGACCCCAGGGACGTGACCCGAGGTGGGGGATGGCAGAGCTGGTCTGGGCCCCACAGGAGGGGCGGGCCAGGCCAAGCTGCAGCAGGCCAGGGAGGGGACGACTTCCCCAGGCAGCAGTGGCTGTACAGACCCGGCTGGCTCCTCGATCACCAGTGGACATGGGAGCTGCTGAGAGCTCGTCTGTCTATCCTGTGTGTTCCCTGGTGGGTGGGTTGGGGTCACACCTTTTCCTCTCCCCCCACAGCCTGGCCCCTGTCTGACACTGACCCTCCCCCTGGGGCTCACTTTAAATCAGGGTGGGCAAACTACAGCCTGAGGGCCAGATCCAGGCCGTCAGGGCTTTGGATCCGGCCCGTGGGATTGCCACCCCCGTGCCGCCGTGGGCCCTGCACCGCTCCTGGAAGTGGCCGACACCACGTCCCTGCGGCCCCTGGGAACGGGGAACCGCGGCCAATGGGAGCTTCGGGGGAGGTACCCACAGGCGAGGGCAGCATGCGGAGCCCTCTTCCCTCCCCCTCCCCCAGGGGCCGCAGGGACGTGGGGCCAGCTGCTTCCAGGAGCGGCACGGGGCCAGGGCAGGCAGGGAGCCTGCCTTAGCCCCGCTGCCACCCCAGAGCCGCTCCAGTTAAGCGGCACTGCACTGGAGCCCGCACCCCACAGCCCTCCTACACCCCAACCCCTTGCCACACCCCTCCTGCACCCCAACACCCTGCCCTGAGCTCCCTGCCGCACCCCACACCCCTCCTGCACCCCAACCTCCTGCCCCGAGCCCCCAGCCGCAACCCGCACCCTCTCCTGCACCCCAA